CGCCAGAGGCGGCGAAAGTGGGGGAGGCACCCCGCACTAGCAGGGGCCCCCCCGGTTCGTAACTAGGGGTCCGACCTAAGTCAGACTGACGTAACCCGGGGACTGCCTGTATCAGGTTAGGGATCATAAACTAAACCAGCTGTCCCCAACCAGTCAGGCACAATGGACTGGTTGATTGTGGAAGCTTTGTCATTTGATCTCAATCTCAGTTCCTTATTTCCCCCTTTGTTCAACTGAACTGAAAGTACAGGTTGTATGCGCCATAGCCCCAGGCTGATGTGCTGGATGCCTTCTCAACAGGGGTTGTTACCTTTACTTTGAAAGGTGCTTAAAGGGACAGAGAGGTGTTGAGAGGGGCCTGGGCTGGACTTACTACTTTGAATTGCTGCTAGGTTCTTTCCTCTGATCTTGAAGAGGAGTCAGCAGAAAATTGCTCACCATCTGTGTCTGCAGCACAAGTTTCAGCAATGCCCGGTGAGTCAGGGTGCTTCTGTTCCACAAGAAGAGACTACTGGGGGAGGGAATCCCCTGTAGTCTTCTAGTCCTGCAGCTGCAGCTGGACTTGGGAATCCTCCACAGCTTCCCAGCCCTTTCATTGATGGGGAGAATCTCCAACAGTTCAACAGTCACTGCAGTACTGGTGGGGGATGAGGTGGGAGAAAGGAAATCAGTGTTACCAGTCAAAGGAAGCCCCAGTTTGAGAATATCTTCCAGTTACTGCTGCCCTTTCCCCATGCTCTTGACTCCTGTGCCTTCTGTGGCCTCTAAACCCTCAGTTTATGCTACTCTCCTTTCCACCCTTCTCTTGGGGCCTCTCTAATTTACATCCTTTCTGCTGCTGCATTCTCTACCCCTACCCTTCCACCCATTTGCTGCTATTCTTCCCACTCTTTGCTGTCCCCATCAATTATTTACTGTCTTCTCCAACTATCACCTTGGGCCTGGCTGCTCCCTCCTTCTCTGCTGACTACCCTGTGATCTTGTTCAGGAAGATTGCTAGTGCTCGCAGGGGCTAAATTGGGATTTTTATGAGAGAGTTGTTCCATCTGCTGTGGCAAGTGGTGAATCTGGCCCGCAAGAAGGTATTTCTCTGAAGGTGGCCCCCACAGCCTCAGAGGAGAGAAGAGGCTGATTGCCCCAGTCATGGCTGCATTCAATAGGATGGGATAAAAATTCACAACCATTTACAGATGGAAATACATTTTTTGCCAATGCTGCTGTTTATCCAGTAGCAATGAAGAGTACAAAAGAAATCTAACTTGTGGACTGATTTAAATATCTGGAGGCAGATGGCCTTCATAGTGCAGAAAGTCATATTCTTCAAATCACTTCCATCTTCCTACTAGCATCATTTTGGACTTACTTGGGTTTAAGTGTAGGCTGCTGCTTTTCTTTCCATCCAGCTGCTCATTTCACTTAAATGCTGAAACAGCTAAGAATTTGTATCAAATCTTTTTAGCGCCATAGAGGTGACTATTGTGCTTACTGCTAGAACTAATGTCTTTACTTTCTCCCACTAGCTCCAGGTTGACATTGAATAACATGAAGTAGAGGACTGATTCTTTGTTTCTTAATTTAGGGCATGAAAGATGGAGAATTCAAATACAATCCTCCCCAAGCCTTTGCGAGCAAGAAAAACGATGACTCCAAGTAGTCGAAAACAAGTGGAAATGCTGAATAAAATAAAGAATATTTCAGGACAAGAAAAGAATCTAAATGGCTTCAATACTAAAGATTACCACGTTCAGTTAAATACAGTGGATGTAAACCACAAAAGAAATGATTCTGTAAAAGAAAGCTCACTATCTGAATCAAAAACAGATACATTCCCTGAAAAAAGTGAAATGTTACCTCAAAAATTAACAGCCTCAATACAGGGGTTCACTGTTAACTCCAAAGTAAATGAAGAAATAAAGCAATGCTCAGATAACAAAAATGTTGATCAAAACTGTAAAGAAGAATCACAAGAGACTCCCCATGAGAAATCTTGTAACAAAAACTCTGATGCAAAACAGTTTCTAAATGCTGGGTGTTTACAAGATATTCTGCATAAATGGTATGAAAATGAATTAAATACACCATCCTCCAAACCAGTAGAAGTGCATTTGTATTCTAAACAAAATACTGTACCTGTTGACCAATTAGCAGACAGTGCTTGTTTAGAAGATCCAGTTAACGGTGATAATGGAAACGAAAAAAGAAATAACATGATTATTCCTATTTTAGAAAAGATAGACACAACAGCAGAAAGAAATAGTGCAATAGATGAGGTTATTCCCACATTAAAAAAGGTAGACACAATATCTGATTCAAATGATGTGAAACACATATATAACCTCACTCATTCAGTTACCCCCAAACTGCCTGGGACAGATGAAACAGCTGATGGTTTTGTGCGTGAAACAGCTGATGGAAACGGTAGTCCAAATATTTCACCAACTGCGGAAGCTGCTATTATGCTACAGGATGCATCACCTGAAAATAGTATTGGTAAGCACTTTCCTTCTAATCTAATGAGATATACATTGAACTGTTTCCAAGACCATTTCTTGATTTCTGTAAATTTAAAAGCTAAAATTCTTATTTCCAATGTTCTTTTAAATCATGGGTGTGTATCTTTGGACACATTCTCTCCCCTTTTGCCATTCTCAATGCTGTTTAGTCTGTTTGAACAGTGTCAGGAATGGCAAAAGGGAAGAGAATGTGTGCAGTGTTGAAGCATCTTGGATGGGTTAAGCACTAAGTGTCCAGATGCAGTATTTCCACCTACTTTGCTTCATTGAAATGTTCATGCATTGTGTTTGATACAGGAGAAGAAATATAGCAGATTTAGGATATGCAGCAGGAGGAGTAGATTAGGTTGGGGGGGACAGGGTGGAAGGGAGAGAACCCAGAGAATGAATTAAATAATAAAAAGAGGAAAGGAAGTGGAAAAAGTAATATATATAAAAGATAATGCTGTGAAGAAATGGAACTGAATAGTAACTGAAACCAAAGAATAGAAAACCAGAGAAACAGGAAAGTGAGAGTGTCCATTCTGAAATGATTATTCTAAGTCAGGGATAGGGAACCTCCAGGCTGCATGTGGTTCTTCAGGGTTAGCTTCTGGCAGTGGCCAGATGGTTTGCTGTTCCTGGCCAGTGGAAGCCACAGGAAGCTTCCTCCATTGTCTGGAGTAGTGAACTGAATCCAATAGGAGCTGCGAGTGGTTGTGCCTGTGAACGCTCAGGTAGACAAACCATCTGGCAACCTGTCAGCAGCTAACCCTGATGAACTACACGCAGCCAACGCAGTGGAAGTTCTGCACCCCATTCTAGGCCATCAAATATAGAACAGCTATTTGTTCTAGAAAAGCAGGCTCAGGCACCAGTAAGTTGAAGGAAAAAAAAAACAATGAAATGAAATTGGCTTGCCCTAGCCCAGGTGAATACACTGAATTAGGGGAAAAGAAAGAAACAAACGGGAACTCAACGTAACATATTTTCAGTCATCATAATCTTGTTTATAGATCTGCAGCTAAATCACTGATTTGCCATCTTTTGCATGGGTGCATTCTTGGAACATTTGAGCATTTGTCTGATAGTGCTTCAGCAGTTATTATAATGCTGATCTCTGAGAATTAATACACCTTAATAACCTATTGGGCAATATGCTCCTATAGTTTAAAAAAAAAAAAAAAAAAAAAAAGCTGGAAGGCTGAGGTAACTCATTTGATTGATCCACAAACATTGTTAGAGGCTAAGTTCCCAGTTGAGCAGCTTTCCTTTAAGCCTTTTGCAGGAGCTATTAAGCCCCCTGCAGGGACTCGGGGCTATCTCTTCCCAAGCCCTGAAGCTGCCAGGGATGGCAGGGAGGAGCCCCTTCTTACCAGTCCCAGCACCAAGCTGCCGGAGCTGGCAGAAAAGGAGTACCTATTCGCTGTCTCCAGCAGGAAGTCCTCCAAGTAAGCCCGAGCCACAAGCCCCTGCCCCATCTCGAGACCAAAGCACCCTGCTGCACCCCAAACCCCACACCTCCAACCCTGAGCCCGTACCACCCTCCTACACTCCAGCCACCCTTAAACCTGGAGCCTCCCTCATCCCTAGCCCTACCCCAAAGACTATGCCCTCAGTCAGAGAGTTTACTTCCATCACTGGGAAAGCTCTCTCCGAACTCTGGTGCTATGACAAGTTTGCTGCATTAAAGTGCTACCATGGCTATGCTTTAAACTTGGCATTAGACAAAGTCTTAGGCAGTCTGTATTAGGGATGTAAGCAACTAGTCAGCTAGCTGATAAGCATAGGATTATTGGATAGTCAATTAGTGAAGCGACTAGTCTCTCTCCCTCCCCCCCCCCCGCCCCCCCCCCCTTTGTTTCCTCTATCAGAAAGAGGCAGCAAGGGTGGGGAGCAGGAGCTGGTGCTGGTGGGAGCTGGCTTAAAAGCTGGTTGCGCCCAGGACCATCTTCGCAGGGGGCAGGAGAGGTAGAGGCACAGTGGGAAACGGTGCAAGCGGGGACTGAAGCAGTCTCCTGTGCTGCTCCCTGCGGGGCTTCTGCTTTTGAACAGTAGCAAGAGTCTGGCAGGGCTCTTGCTACAGTTCAAAGGTAGAGGTGCCCTTACGGACTAAGTGAATAGTCAATGGAAATCCCATTGGCTATTCAATTAGTTAATTAATGTAAATTTAACATCCCTAGTTTGTATGCAGACTAAGTTTGCTTATTTGACTCTGCTGTGCTGCTCCCTGCGGGGCTTCTGCTTTTGAACAGTAGCAAGAGTCTGGCAGGGCTCTTGCTACAGTTCAAAGGTAGAGGTGCCCTTACGGACTAAGTGAATAGTCAATGGAAATCCCATTGGCTATTCAATTAGTTAATTAATGTAAATTTAACATCCCTAGTTTGTATGCAGACTAAGTTTGCTTATTTGACTCTGCTTTTTGTCTTCTCATTGTCGCTCTTTCCCATATCTAGTCCACTTTTTGTGGGCCTCTCTACCCATGTTAGAATTCATTTACAATTCATTTATTTAAATTTCATAGCCAAGTGATCATGGTATAAAGTCTAGCAGAAGCTGCTGAATAAATGTTGGTATGTTAATTATAACACTCAGAAGAAAAAGTTGCTTAGGGGTAGGAATTTTTTTGCTTTATTAGGTGATGTGGGTTCTGAGAGACAGAAAATTTTTTATTCAGGGAGATGGAAAGAAACAGGAAAAACGGGGGAAAAAATAGGTTGTCTTCAGAATTGTCCCTAAAAGATTAAACTATCTGATCTGTTACTTTAATTTGAAATATGTATTTCCCAACTCCATTCAATGTTTTTAGGAAGATTGTCTCCAAAACCCAGAATCTTTTATAGCTAGGGTTGCCAGGTGTCTGGTATTTACCGAGACGGTCCAGTATTTTCACCTCCTGTCCAGTAAAAAAAATTCAGAGAATACCGGACACCTGAGATGTCCGGTATTCTCTGAATTTTTCCCCGGCCAGGAGGCGAAAATGTTGGGCACCTGGCAATCCTACAAACACTCAGTGCCTGGCCTCCCCCGAGTCCCCTCCGGTTCCCAACACCCCCAGCTCCCATGCTTACCTGGTTCTGCCAGGCTGCCAGCACAAAATGGCTGCTGGCCAAAAAACCTAGGGGAAGCAATGCTTCCCCTGGGTCTTAGTGCTCAACCGCTCCCATTTCTATCCTTGCACTCACTCTTAAAGGGGACATCCTGTTTTAATGCTGTTTTATTTTAACTTTAATTTTTTTTGGCCCCCCCCCCCCCCCAGAATTTTTTCCCAGGTTTTTTTTTTTGGGGGGGGGGGGATTTTTGTTTCAACCATCTGGCAACCCTAGTTATAGCTTGAAAATGAAAACATAGTAAAGGTGGTGCTGCCTTTGGTTATATTGAAACAGACAAAAAGAGGCCATTATAATTCCACAAACAGAAGGTAGATGTTCAATTGAAATGCCAGAGTATTTTCTACATTAATTTATATCTTATGTAGTCACATAAATCAGTGAAGAACTGATCTCTTCTCTGAGATCCACTTCTAAATTCCAGGCAAATAAAGAAAAGATTCTCATAATCCCTGATTGCTCTACTCATGGAAGCGCTTCAGAATTCTTCCCCCTCTCCCACCACGTCTCATTTCCTAATTAATCTGGGTTGGAGAAAGAAGCAAGTGAGTCCTTTACTATAAAAATGTAGGTAGGTGATCCAGTGGTGGTTATGGTGGAGGAGAACCAATAGTCTGAGAAATAGCAATAGTATAGTTACTAACAGGCTGTTTGTCACTTATCTAAGGTAATGCTGGGAAAAAGCCTTCTTTCACTTGAGGTGGACCGTCTGCCTTTTTTCTATGGCATTAGGAGCAGCAGTTTTTCTTAATTGTTTTTGTGTCTAGGGAGTAGCAGACAGCATGTTACCGCTACTAGGGAAAGGGAGATGTAGCCAGCTCCTGGCACTTGCCCCAGTGCAAGGCATCCTGAGAATTAAATATGATCTTACCACTTGGATATGTGAAAGTGTCTGGCTGACACCCTGTAAGTGATCTTGCTTTTTCCATTTTAATCGAGCTCATGGTTTCCCCGTCATTCCCACCAAAAAGTAGTAAGACTCTTCCCATTCAATGCAAAAACCAAACTATGGTGTAATGGACTGGAACTACAATTATACATTTAACCTCTACTTAGGGTTGCCAGGTATCCAGTTTTGAACTGTAAAGTCCAGTATTGGAGCTTTCTGTTCAGGAAACAAATTGAGAAAATATAAATGTCCTGTATTTTCTAAATAAGATGACATTACATCACAATCTACATTACTAGCGTGTCCAATATTTTTGTTGAAACCATCTGGCAACCCTACATCTGCGTTGAATGGTACTGTGTCAGTAAGGGTATGTCTACACTGCCACCCTAGTTCGAAGTAGGGTGACTAATGAAGGCATTCGAAGTTGCAAATGAAGCCCGGGATTTAAATATCCCAGGCTTCATTTGCATCTTGCCAGGCGCCGCCATTTTTAAAACCCCGTTAGCGCGGACTCCGTGCCCGCGGCTACACGTGGCACGGAGTAGGTAGTTCAAAGTAGGCTCTCTTAATTCGAACTACCAGTACACCTTGTTCCACGAGGTGTACCGGTAGTTCGAATTGAGAGAGCCTACTTTGAACTACCTACTCCGTGCCACGTGTAGCCGCGGGCACGGAGTCCGCGCTAACGGGGATTTAAAAATGGCGTCGCCCGGCAAGATGCAAATGAAGCCTGGGATATTTAAATCCCGGGCTTCATTTGCAACTTCAAATGCCTTCATTAGTCACCCTACTTCGAACTAGGGTGGCAGTGTCGACATACCTTAAGGCATTAATTTGTATGTTCGTTCCTCATATAGTAGTGTTAGAGGAAAAACATGACAAACATTTACCTCACAAATTAATTTTCTTTAAGACAATGCTCAAAGGAAGAGGGTATGTTCAGAAGGCAAGGAAGACCGTCACTGTAAGCGCATAAGAACTTCATATGAAAACAAAGAGAATATATGTGTTGTATCAGAAGAAGAGGAAATGTTTTGGGGAAAGGTAACTTGCTTTATTTTATAGACTTAAAGCTGAAATCTTTCATGCATTAAATATTTTAGTTGCTGTCTTATTAAAAAAACAAACAAACCTACTTTCAATGTTAATTAAAGATATAGTTGTCGGCTATGCTGAGCTACTTAGGCCAAGTCCTATGGATGTGATTCTAGAAGACAGTATTCAGTTTGGTTTGAGGAAACTGAGAACTTTAGTAATTTTTAAACTGGTTCCTCCAATTCCTTTAATAATTTTAAATTGGTCTAGACATTTGAAAAATATTCTTTGCCATATAAAAATATATAAATGTACAAATAAAATGGACACCTGCATCTGACGAAGTGGGTCTTTGCCCACGAAAGCTTATGCTCCTACACTTCAGTTAGTCTATAACGTGCCACAGGACTCCTCGTCGCTTTTGCAAATAAAATGGGTTACTTATAAATACACCCAATTTTGCAGGTCTTAGTAGAGGAAATAACATTAATGTAAAATCACGAGTATAATGCGCACTTTTCCCCCAGTTTCTTAGGCTCACAGCCGGGGTGCACATTATAAAGTTTTAAACTCCTCCTCCCATCTGCATAGAAACTTTCCTGCTGCAGTGCAGTGCGGGGGCCGCCACCCCACCAGGCTTCCAGACAAGGTGAGGAGCCAGCAGCGCTGCCAGGCTGCAGTGCCCTGGCTCACTGCCTGCCCGGTGCTCCTTCAGGCTGCGCCTGGGAGTCCCCGCAGCGGGCGCAAGCTTGGTGTGTTTCCCAGGCGAGCCTACAGGTAGGAGCGGCATGTCCCCCCCTCCCACTCTCTTGCAGCCCGGAGATACCTTAGGGAAGTGGGCAAGGCTGGGCTTGAGGCTGGTGGGTCAGCTCCTGGCTCAGTGGGGCAGGCTGTGTTGGACTACAGAAATTCTGAATTTCAGAAACCGGTTACTTCCCGTTCTCCTATACAATGGGAATGGTACAGAACACACAGAAGAAAAATAAAGACTGCCTGAGATTTTGGGGTATAAACCTGAAAACAGAATATGAATAAAAGACGTGGCTGGAAAACTAGCTGAGGAGCACTTTGCCTTGCTAGTGTGATGTAGCATAATGGTGAAAATAGCGAAAGCTGCTTCTGATTGTAAAAGCTTGAAAACCTTAACCTTTGTGACATTTTGTTCTTCGAGTGTTTGTTTATGTCAATTCCAATTAAGATGTGTGTGCATCACGTGCACAGTTGTTGGAAACTTTTCTTTAGCGGCCTCCATCGGGTCAGCCTAGGAGCCCCCTGGAGTGGTGCTGGTATATGGTGCTATATATGACCCTGCTGATCCTCCCCTCCTTTTCTTCTTTGGCGTCTGTGATGGCATTGGAACATCGCTCGTTTACTCTGTAAGTGTGCCATTCTCTAGCTTAGCTCGTATTCATTGTTCATAGTTGGTGGTTCTCACGCTAGCATTTATTGTTATAGTAGTTAAGTTGTTGAGGTGGCAGATACCAGTTACTGCCTTTCTTGGCCAGTATGCAGTGCCACAAGACCAAGGCTGCAATGCCTGCCATAAGCGTACGCTGAATAGTGATCCCCACGACTCCTGTCTACGCTGTCTGGGGGAACCTCCCCAAGCAGACCATTGTAAGACTTGCAAATCCTTCAAGACACAAACAAAAAAGGAGAGGGACTTTTGTTTGCAGCAGCTCCTGATGGAAGTGGCTCTTAGGCCAATGGCACCAGCTCAACTAGGCCCCAGTTCGTCAGTGTGCAGTGCCCAGGCAGCAATGTGTGCCACACCAATGCCAAAAGAAGCCACAGAAAAGCCTCGGCACCAGAGATTAATGGTAACATTGCTCTACAATTTTTTTTAGAAGTAGTCTGCTTCAGAGATAAAATGTGCTATTTATTATGTATTTTGATGTGCTGAATTCAAATATGACAATTAAAACAACTGATTGGCTACTGTTTCCAAGATATTTAAGTTTTTACATTTTACGTCTATGTATATTGTGTAGGTAGTAGAGTTTTAATCATAAATTGTAAACCTAGGTCTTTTCATGTGTTTGTGGTTGCTTTACATGATAATATTTCACCTGTCCTGTTTATGTAAAACTTTAAAAATCAGCAAAAGGGTTATATAAATAAAATTTATTATAAAACAAAAGGCAAAAAAACTATTATGTACATAGTTTAGTCCTATTCAGTGTCTACTCGGCGCTTCTTGGCTTGTCTCTTGTATTCATTAAATGGAGCATCTCTTGTCACTGTCCAGCAATAGTCTGCAAGCATTGATGGGCTCCATTTGCCCTGATAGTGTTTCTCCATTATTGCAATGACCTGGTGAAATCGCTCGCCGTGCTCGTCGCTCACTGCTCCGCAGTTCGGTGGAAAAAAATCTAGATGGGAGTGCAAAAAATGTATCTTTAGTGACATGTTGCAACCAAGGCTTTTGTATGCCTTCAGGAGGTTTTCCACCAACAAACTGTAGTTGTCCGCCTTGTTGTTTCCGAGAAAATGTATTGCCACTAACTGGAAGGCTTTCCATGCCGTCTTTTCCTTGCCACACAGTGCATGTTCAAATGCATCATCTCAAAGAAGTTCACGAATCTGAGGACCAACAAAGACACCTTCCTTTATCTTAGCTTCACTTAACCTTGGAAATTCTCCATGGAGGTACTTGAAAGCTGCTTGTGTTTTGTCAATGGCCTTGACAAAGTTCTTCATCAGACCCAGCTTGATGTGTAAGGTGGTAACAAAATCTTCCTTGATTCAACAAGTGGTGGATGAACAGTCTCCACTCATCTGGCTCGTGAACGATGTTGAGGGCTGCCATCGATGTTGTTGCAGGCTACAAGATCACTTTCCATGAAGAAGAATGGGACAAGATCCTTTTGACGGTCATGGAACAGGGAACCCCTAACATTACCTGCCAGGAGATTCCACTGCTGTAGTCTGGAGCCCAACAGCTCTGCCTTACTCTTGGTTAGTTCCAAATCCCTGACAAGGTCATTCAGTTCACCTTGGCTGTGTCTACACTGGCATGAATTTCTGGAAATGCTTAAAACGGAATACTATTCCGTTTTCAGTTTTTCCGGAAAAGGAGCGTCTACATTGGCAGGCTGCTTTTCCGGAAAAGCCCTTTTTCCGGAAAAGCGTCTGTGGCCAATGTA